ACTGCAGATCAAAAATATTTTTTTAAAAAAATCCAAAAAGCAGTACTTGAATTTGCCACACACTGAGCACTAGGCGGAATCCACGTGAGTGGTGTGTAGGCATGGCCTGCTTTAGCCATATGAATGCAAATACTACACCATTTTATGTAAGGGACTTGAGCATCCAAAGATTTTGGTATCTGCAGGGTCCTGGAACCAGTCCCCCATGGATACCAAGGGACAACTTTGAATGCTGTTTGAAATGATTTGGATATAATGCATGACATCGAATCCTTCAAATTCAAGTTTGCCTTTTAGGTTTCTTTCTTCTTTTTTTGAAAAACTTGTATTTTGGACTTCCCTACTAAAACTAAAGCAGAATTACAGTTATATAACCTTCTTTAATGAGCATTTATCAATCTGTGTTTGTATTGCTTGCTCTCTCATTCTCTCGTCTCCTTTGTGCTGTTCAATCACAAACAACTAGAGTTACCAGTGCTATTGATTCTTATTTCAAACTATGGATCACGAAATCTCTCTCCACTGTCATCAATTGGTAACCCTAATCATCCCTTGCCCAGGTCATTACATTAGTCCCCCATTCATTGTATATGGCCTCTGGTCTTTTCTCCACTTACTTCATCTTACAAACTATTGCCAGATTTTCTTAGAATCCTTTATTGGCTTCCTTTTGTCCAAGCAATGGTTTTTAAAGTATGGTCTGTGTAACCTTAGAATATGAGGATCCCCTTGATCTGCTAGGTTAAAACTATGCTCCTATAAAAGTTGCCTTTAAAAAAAAAAAAAACAAAACTGTTGACATTTGCACTGATGATACAAAAGCAATTATAAATACAACTATTGATGCAGTAGCCGGAATCAAGTCAGTGGCACCAGTATATACCAGCAGTCATTGCATTCTTCTCTGCCATATACAGTAGGAAAAAAAAAAAAGCCAGTTTTACTTAAGAATATCCCTGAGAACTCATCGAAAATTCATAATTTTATTAAATCTCAACCCATCTTTTTAACATTCTGTTTGATGACATGGGAAGTACCTATAGCTGCGTACCAAAGTATGATGCATAGATAGCGCCACGGAAAGCATTTGTGCAAAGCGCGTGCGAGCTGAACTTGCCACTCGTTTTTCATGAAACACCATTTTTACTTGAAAGAACAACTGAAAAACAGACTATAGTTATTCAGTCTTGGTTATTTGGTAGACATTTTCTGGAAAAAAGAAGACATAAATGTGTGTCACTTAAGGGGGGAAAAAACAACAGTATTTATTGCCAATGACAAAATTCAAGACTAAAAATAAAAATCATTATTTTTGGAAACAAATCTATCACCTTGAGCTTGACTGCTCCCATTACTTAAAGACTTTTCTGATGAGATCAGTACCTAAAGGTTAGTGAATGTGATTTTTTGACATTATATACTGAAAAGTGTCAACATTTAGAAAATCTGCAAAACTAAATGAACCAACATTTTTCTAGATGATCAGTACATAATGTTACAAACTCATGCATATGGGTAAAAGATCCATTCAAAGGGCAAAGTAGACCAATGGTTTTTATTTTAACAGAGTATGAAAAGTCCATTGATGTGTCAGATTCCACATTTTATTCACTTTTAAGAAGCAGCTGCTTGTCAGGTTTTGGCCTAGTATTAAAAATATTACCTAAAGTGCTATTAAAATACTCTTCCTTTTTCTAACTACGTATCCACATGAGTCCAGATTTCCTTCATATACTTCAGCCAAACAACATAAAGCAATAGATTGTGTGTTGAAACAGATTTTTCTATTCAGCCAGACTTAAAAGAGATTTGTAAAACTTAAAAGAGTGTTACTCCTCTCACTTAATTTTTTGAGAAGTTACATCTCATTAAAAATGTGTTATTTATATTAACATGCAATAGATTTGTTGCTATCATTAAATGAATAAATATTTTTAAAATTCTGTTTTGATTTCTAATATGGTAACTATTGATTAATATAATCTACATAAACAAAAGCGCTTTGAAGATATCAAAAATATCTGAAAGCTGCTAGTCTGTGTGATAATGACCAGCCTTAGAGCAGTGCTTTCCAAAGCGGTCCATTGAGTAACCTCTGATTCTTTTCAATGTTTCTTAAATTATTCAATTTTTATAATAAGGCCAGCATCCAATGTCCTTAGTATCCTTACAGGAACGAGACAGTGCAAACCTGAATTTTTTTCCAACTTTGCTATTAAGATGCTAATTTATAATTTTAAGTTAGTTATCCTTTTCTCTAGTGAATTTTATACACTAAATATTATTGGAAGTCAGAAATCAGAAGTATGTCACTAGAGCAGTAAGAGAGAGGAGGGTGAGAAGGGAGTAAGGGAAGAAGAGAGAGAGAGAGAGAGAAAGAGAGAGAGTTTGGGGAAATCAGTAGATGAAGTAGGGCATTAATCTAAGCTTGTCCTGTTAATATAGTCTTAGTATACAGGCTTCACAAATGTACTATTAAACCTTTATTTAGCCAAATGAAATGAGGACATGATAGAATGAATAAATTAAATCTATAGGTTATTTTAAAATCTTATTTTATCTTGTTATTTAAAATGCCTTCTAAACCTTAACCCAGAAATGCTAAAAAGAACCAAAAAAGTCACTTATTCTAACTTCTTTCTTGTTTTCTCCCTTGTTACACATTCTCATTAAATTATCAAAAAGTAGGCATTAGATAGTTAAAAAAAAAAAAAGTGAAACTATAAAATTTATAAAAGGCTACTCAATCTCATAATTTAGACAGACAGGTTTTAAATAGACAGTTATTGCTCCCTCTTCATTCTGCCTTTAGCTCTGGGGGAGTATGCAGGGTTTCCAGATGTTCTGTGTGAGACATCTTTCTTCATAATCTCCTGAAGGAACTGCAAACAAAGCTCAGGCTGCAGAAAGGGAGAATGTGAGAGGCAGGGAGACTTTAAGAGAATTGCTCAGGCTGACACAGGGAAATCCAGAGCTGATGCAGATTTATATTTTGTCAGGAAATCTGGGTTATGCTATAAATATAGTATCCTAAATTCTAATTTTTATGTACAGAGTCTATCAATGTCTTCTTGCTGTCGATCATAAGATTGCTGTTCAAATTAAATTTCAATGGGCAAGAAGTGTGCAGTTTAAGTCACCCATGGCTAACTTACATAAAAAGGTTAGTTATTTGACTGAGAACGTGTCTAGGCCACAAAACCACCACATTTCCACATAAAGTAGGTGTATCCCTCTCTGTTGAGGTAGTTTTGGTATTTGCTCTAAAAATAGGCCTACATTGTGGTAAAAATCTAACTCAGTTGTTTGTCCAAATTATGCGAAGAAAATCAGCTTTGATATGGCTTTTAAGTATAGGCGGGAGTCTCTTACAGTGTTAAAAAAGGCTTAGTTCCTTTAGAGCTTTTTGTGATCATTTTAGGAAATTCTGAAGTATAAAAAAAACCTTTAAAATAATTTAAGATGCTTAGAATACGAGGGGAGAGCAGAGGGTGGGGCGAGAGCTGGTGTGAACTAGAGAAGCTGTAGATGGAGCATGCACTGCTGTGCATTGTGCAGGGGAGTTAGAAGCAGAAAAACAGGAGCAGGGAGGAAATAGTGAACTTGAAGAATTAGTAACATGTCCAGCCAAGCCCTAGTAACATTATTGGCTCTTGGCCTTTGAATTGTTTTGGAGGGTTGTCGATAAGTCCCCCAAAACATGGAGAACAGCAAGTTTAGACCGACTTTTAGAGAGCCAAGGAAGTTAAGCCACAACGAGCACCGAAGATAATGGACACAAGGAGACGCAAGAAGATGGACATAAACCGAACTACACTAAATTACTGGCTTGTCGTTTACTTTCTATAGGACTCTGGCTATAATTCTGCATGTTTGTGTAATTATAGTATAAAATGTCTAAGAAATAATTTTAATTTCCATGAAGCTATTCAATACCAGGAATACCCATCATCCTGTGATAAAAAGACTAAAAATCTATAGAAATTAACAGTAATGAAAATGCTCATTTAATAAATAAAATGTGCTTATTTATGATTTACAACTCTCCTGCGCTCCTAGCTGTTCCTTTTCTCATTTCCTCAGTCGAGGCATGCCTCTAGCATAACAACTAATGCATTTTAAATGATCCCTGCAAGTAGTTTCCTGAGAGTAATTAGTCCTTCATGGCTAAAGAACTTTTAATATGTATTGAACCATCATAAAAGTCTTATTTAATGGATCTAATGTGTACTTATGATTAAGATATGTTCTGAGTTTTACAACAGCCCAAATAAATGAACAGTTTATATCAAAAAAATTTAAAGTAACAGAGTAATAGTAAGCATTTGGTATTTTATAGGGAAATGAGACATTTAGAAGAGTTGAGACATTGAGCTTTGACGCTGTATACCTCCAACTGTAAGATATGATCGTAATAGTGTAGCTCTTTCCTTGAGTGAATTGCTTCCTATGATTTTAAGATATTACTGGCCTCTTGTGGTAATATGCTATAGTTTAAACATTTCTAATTCTTGCGAGTGGCTAGAAATACAGCCATTTTGAAGGCATAGGCTGCCAGTAACTTCACCCCTTCAGTTCTGGGTCAACAGGACTCTCAAAGTATACATGCAACATCATCTTCCTCCTGAAGGCTAGGGGCTCCGTCTTTTGCTCTTGTCTCTGAGTCATCTCCACCTCTTTATTTCGAATGATGCTGGTTTTGCTGTGAAGCGATCTCCCAGTATTTCAGTGCAAATTACAGCAGCGATTACTGTGTCGAGTTTATACTAACAGTTTTTCCTTGAGTGTTTCAGCCCTTTTTTCTGCACACTGTAGGCCACTTTTTACTTCTGTATGTAAGTTTTTAGTTTCTTAAGAGAAAGTTTTCAGTTTACTCTTGGGACTCATGTCTAGACTCATCTCTTTATTTTATTTGATTTTGAAGAATCTTACATTTGAAACACAAGTTTACTCAGCAGGACAATAAGTTGCCCCTTTTGTTTTTCATATTTGTCGCACAGATGTGAAAGGGCCACCTACCCACCGTCTGTCATGTGGCCAGTCACCCTACACTGAGACGACAGCGTGGGAGCGGAAGTACTGCATCCTCACAGACAGCCAGCTGGTGTTGCTCAACAAGGAGAAGGAGGTGAGACGGGGATTCCTGAGAAGAGCCACTTCCCTTTCTGACCGAACGCCTGTTAAATCGTCCAGTTTTATTTGCATTTTCAAAGTCACACTTATGAAAATCGAGGCTTTATGGACAATACACTGTACGTAAGTCTCATGGGCCGCTGACATCATAATGATATGCGGTTGCCATGAAGATGTGAGTTCCTCAACAGTCAAACAGTGAAAGAAGAGATGTTGAGTCGAGTAATTTGGAATGAGAACAGATTGGATTATGTAGACCTGGCCCCGAAATGGCCTAGACCGGCTATTAGAAATGGTATCAGTCTGGCTCCTAGCAAGTAACAAAAGGGACAGTCAGTGGATTAGTTGGGAGATTTAATGAAGGGACTACTTAACAGAGGTGTGGGCTGCATAGGGGACCCACTGAAGAGAGGTGAAGCACCCACGAACTAGCAAGAGCAGAAAGCGGTTATCACCCTAGACCTTCAGGGTCAGGGGAGGAAGCAATGTTTCCAGAACCCAGAGAACCGTAGTTGCATGAGCGGGCTGCATGGCAGTTGCTGTGGCTATGCACAACAACACAGCCTCTACCAAAACAAAAATGGCCGGCAAGGAGGAAGCAAGGGAGAATAAACACTCCAACGCACTTCTCCTGCCTTCCGATCTCTTGCCAGTGCTACCTACCTGCCAAACCTAGCTTGAAACCAGAGGGAAGGATTGCTTTCGATGTGTTCTGTAGAGGTTTGCTCCCTGAAACACACAGCAGAGGAGAAAAGGGCAGAAGGTAGATCTGGAGAGGCAGACAGTGTGTAATTAGTTCTAGTTCTAGGTAAACTTTCTGTCCCTCTCTAAATTAAAAAAAAAGAAAACAAAAGAAAAACTCTTGAACTTATCGTATATTATTACTACTTTACTCCTCAAACTGTTAGTGTACAAATTCTTCCACATCCAAATAATTTATTTGCTTATTGATGATTTAACACAGTTGTTATCATTCCAAATTGGTAGGGCCATAAGACCATCCTATTCCCAACCTCTACAGCATAAAAAAAAAGGAGTGACTACGATCTTGACAAAGAAGAGGGATGATAGGAGAGGAGAAGAAAGGTCTGATTCAATGAAGAAGAAAGATTAATTACTTTTTATAGATATATAGATATATATAAAATAAGTAGAAATCTGTAAATAGAATATCAATTTTAGTAAGTAAAATAATATTTTAATATTGTTAAATTTAATTTTATTAAAATAATGTTTTAAAGGGTAGCCTTTTCTGGAGCAGTCTAGTACATGTTGCTGTGTTTTTATTAAGTAGGTACATAATTTAAATTGGTAGAGCGAATATTAGTATAGAAGATTTCTAGTTATCCAGTTTGATTAAACAGATAATTCAAAATGTACATTTCAACCAACCTACTCTGTCAGCAGTCCTTTTTCAGAGTTGTTAATAAGGAGTGCTGTGAACAGATCATTTGCCATCTTTATGCTCTTGAGTCCCGTAAGAAGTTTAACAGCCTAAAGACAGATGACAGAAGGTCAAGAAGCATGCCTTGTCCAGAACCCAGATATAATCTATCGATTGAACATTTCTAACCAGTCAAGTAATCTAGGCCTTGGTCCTTTTTTGTATCATAAAATAACTGTCCACGATGAATGATTTTCTAAAACAATGTCTTGTGCACTTTTCCCTGTCGATGCCAGTCATCGTGCGTAGCCCTAGACATCCAGGGAGCCTCTCGTTTCCCACAGTCTGCATACGACTCTGTCCCTGCCTCCCACTCATCCTTTGCCACCTCTTGAAACTCTCACTATGCCCTCTGCAGCTTATGATCCATCAGCAGCAAAATCAACTGTTTGAGCCACCGCTTCCTGAAGGAGTCCTTAGCGTCCTGGTCTTATGGGAACTTGCATCTTCCCCGAGGACACTGTCTCCTGTGAGGTCTTGTCAAGTGACAGCTGTTCTCCCACGGCCCTCAGAGAATGCTGCCTGTGGTGGGCGCCTTCTCCTTTCAGGGCTGTCTCCTATCTATTCTCCCTCATTTTTCCCAAAAAGCCCAAACTCCGAACCTCATGTTGTAGTCATCTTCCAAGCCCCATTCATGTCTCCTCCTCCTTTTGTTGATTTTTGCTCTCGGCTCATTATCACGATCTCTAACATGACTCTAGCCTTAATTTGTGATGATTCCAGTATCCAGAGACATGATTCTTCCAGTTCATGACTCTCAGGTCCTTGAACTCCTGTCCTCCAAGAGTCTTTTCCTCTCCCCTGCCCCACTTCCACGTCTGCACATGCTCAGTTGTGTGCATCTTACCCTACGCCGTCATCTCCTGTCATTTTAACTCATTCCTTCCAGCAACCCCTCAGCCCTCCTCCTCTGCTCCACTGACCCTCTCGCCTTGTCTACCCCTTCTACCTCTGATGTCCTCTCATTCCTCTTCACCTAGCCGGAATTTTATGGTCATTCTCATCATTGCCTTGCATACTATTCCTCGCCTTTGTCTGGCATCATCATACTCATTTGGCAGTGTGATATGATAGCGCAGTTAAATCCTGCTTCTCCCCCATCCTGCCTTGCTTCTGTGTAGCATTTATCTGGAGAAAAATCACTCCACCATGCTGATGGTCTTTAAACTAATAGCTGCAAACCTCATGTGAGCCCCTAATGCTACTTGGCAATCACGAAACATTTTCCTAGTCCAATTATTGTCTAGCTCTCCTGGACTGGTGCGTCTCAATCTAAGTGTGGTAAAGGACCATTTTTCCCCCCACCTCATCATCAACAAAACGAATTAAAAAAATGAAAATTTAAAAAGACAAAAATACAAAGCCAATTTTTTTTTAGATTTAACAAGTAGAAGTACAATTCGGTTACTATACACAGAATAATTATAACATAGGAAAAGAAGGGAAAAAATTACAGTTGTCCGTGTTCATGGAAAGTATGCCACATAATGAAACAAATGACGTCTGTTGCAACCAGACTCTTACTGACACCCCTCTGCCAGACCTGCTCGTGTTAATGAGCTCACTGGTGACTCCATATTGCTAAATTCAGTGGTCACTTCTCAGTTCTCATCTTACTTAATCTGACAGTGGCATTTGATGTAGCTGGTCACACGTTCCTTCTAGAACCACTTTCTTCATTTGGCTTCCGTGATAGCGTGCTCTCTTAGTTTTCCTCCTCCCTCTCTGGCAGTTCCTTCTGAGTCGTCTTTGCAGATATTTTTTCTTCTCTTGAAATCTTTACAGAGGAGTGCCACAGAGTTCACCCTTGGACCTCACTTTCTTAAGAGTCCCATCCAGTCTTACGACTGTAAGCACCCCCTAAAGCTGGTGATTCCTAATGTTACATCTCAAACCTACATACCTTTCTTCTCTAGACTTACATATCCACCTACACATTAAATACCTCAAACTGGATATGTAATAGTCATCTCCAGCATGCCCCACACCGAGCCCCTAATCTATCCTTCCAAGTTTCAAAGGCCAGAACTCTCCCCAGCTTACTGTGTGCCAGCCATTCTGGCTTTGGCACTGTTCTCCAGCGCATCAGGCATGTTCCTGCCTCAAGGCCTTACTTAGCCTTGGCCTTGGCTTTTTACTTAACGTATTGGCACTGCTCACTCTCTCATTTCTTTCTGCTCTTTGTTTACATGTTACCTGCTTACTAAGGCCTACCCTGACCACGTGTTTAAACCTGGAACCCCTCCCATATCTCCATCCAGAACTTCTGATCGAATTACCTAACTCTAATTTTTTCTCCCCACAGCATATGCCACCTTCTAAAATGCTATATAATTTATTATGTTTATTGTCTTTCTTCCCCTACTGAAATGTAAGCTTTGGGCCAGGGAGTTTGTCTGTTTTGTTCAATGGTATATCCCTCAGTACTTAGAAGAGTTCTTGACACATAAGTAAATTCTCAATAAATATTTGTTGAATAATTTTTGAAAAAGCCACATTATAAACTTTGACTCCTGAATATCCATTTCCTTAGTATAAACTTGAAAGTAGATGAACCTTCTCTTCTATCTTTTCTTTTCGTGTCATAAATCTTTCCAGGACATTTTTTTTCTAAAACTGGATTATAAAAGAGGAAAAAGATAATCCATAAAATGCTTTGCTGTTGTTGAGTATGTGATTCCATCTTTATTTATTGAACATCTATCGTGTGTGCGGTATTGTGATTGCGAAGATGGGGTTTTATTGGGGACACATTGCAGTGAATTAAAAGTTATAACCATTTGGAACACTATAGAGATGGTGGCTATATAACATGGTGAATGTACTACTTGTCACTGAAATATCTACTTTAAAATGGTTAATTTTATGTTAAGCGACTTTAACCTCAGTAAATTGTTTTTTTTTAAGATTTTAATATAACCACAAGGGAATGATTAACTGAGATGTTGCCTGGAGAGGGTTGTGTGAAGTGGAGAATGCCAAAAAAAAGGTTTTACAGAGACATTTATGATTAGGTCACATCTTTAGGGACAAATAGAAGCTCACCAGAGGAAAAGAAGGGAAGGACATGCCACGTATGTGTCAGGAAGGGCACGGAGTCAAGAAGCATTTCTCTCTTTGGCAAACTGCAAAATGTTAAGAATTCTTGGAATGTAGTTTGCAAGAGGAAAAGTGATAGATTTCAAGAATCAAATAATAAAGTTCCTTGGAGACCATGCCAAGGAATCTGGACTTTATTCTGGAAATGATTTAGACCATGAAAAGGTATTTAACAGGGCACTAATATGATCAGATTTGCTTTTTAGAGAAGTAACTCTGTTGATCATGTGAAAAATTGAGTGAACAGTATTGGAAGGAAATAGATAAGCAAAATTACTGCAGTAGACTGAGTAAGGGATGACAAAAGGATGATGAATTTACAAAACAGTTTACAAAAACAGTTTAATGCCCCGAGATAGGGGTGTTCTGTCTTTATTAAGTTGGAAAAACTGCATTAAGTCTGTAGGATAAGAAATTGCTAAGCCATTGCTGTCCCACTGCATGAATAATAA